TAGAGTGAGCTGAGGCCAGGCTAGAGTGAGCTGAGGCGGCGAGGTCGAGAACAGCGCGGCCAGCGGATCCGACGAATGAGCGGCAACCACATGTGACGGACCCCGGGCTGGATTCTGCTTCGTCCATGGTGAAAGTTGATGTATTCCCTCAGCAACCAGCACAGATCAGCTCTAGGCATGACGAAGCGGATATCGTCCTCTTTTGGAAGACCAAACAAAGTAGTTTCGCTTTCACAACGAAGCACACAGCGTCTTCACGACATGGCTGCAGCGTCAACAAAACTACAGTGAGACTAAAAGTTGCGCCTTCTTTCTTTGCGTGAACATTTGGGCGGCGTTATGCAAATCTTCCCACATAGTGAGGTAGATATGTGGGGGCGTGTTAGAACGAGCCATTTTAGGTAGGTGTGGCTGATCTGAACGTTTATAAAGAATATCTCTTTGGATTTGAGACTTTAGTCTTTGCAACTTTACAGATCTTCTGTATGCACCAAGAGCTTGTAACACTCCAAAGAGAAAGGAAAAATTTAAATCTCATCATATAACCCCTTTAAGAAAATAATTCAAATGTCTCAGAGCACTAATAAAAATATTTCTATTATTTTTTTTAATACAAAACAATTTATATAATGATAATAACAATTTGAGTAAAAAACCCTAAAATATGCTTTCATAAGAAGTATTATTAGTATATAGTGCAACATCTAAAATATTTCTAAATTCTATATAATCCTTTTTTAGAAAATAAATCCCAGATTTTCAATGTGATCTCATACTTTTGGACACCAGGACAGTATTTCATTTTTCTTCCATCCTTGAAAAATCATCTGTATTTGTTTTCTCCAGGTCTATATCCAGTCTCAGCCGTGATATTGAGTAATCGCTTTCAGAGATAAACCCCTAAGTCCATGACATCCAATATTACAGTTCGTGTCTTTCCTGCAGGACTTATGAATGGGTGTAGTGTTCAAAATGTGTTTTATATCAACATCTGGCGCCTATGAACGGGAATTAACCATGTTATGAAGACACGGATATGGTAAATATGGAACTCAACGGGTAAAACCTCTCAGCGGGATTCAGAAGTTTTCTCTCAGTGTGTTAAACTGTGAGAAAACTTTCAAACTCTAGATGCAAACACACAGTGAACATAAAGAACTGACGAGTGTGGTTGAATTGTAACAGTTATTGACCACAGCATAAAAAAAATGTATCACAAAAGAACTAAAATTGATGTGTGAAGTGTTTTGAAGGCCAACGATAACTGTTTTCCCTCATGGCTATACGAAAACAAACCAACAAACCATCCAGCAGGGACAGCGAGAGAACTTGAATCAAGGATGTTCAGATGGATTTCAGGTATGTGGCCCTCGAGGCATGAATTACCGAACAAACCTTGGTCACGATCTAACAAAGGACACTATCAATAAGTTAGCTGATGGTTTAGCCGAACCACTTGTGGTCAAAGAAGGAAATGGTGTAGGACAAAACAGACAGTATTCATAGTAGGAGAAAGATGAAGTCGAGTCTGCTCAGATTTGAGACATAAAAGAGCAGCTCGAACATTCTCCAAAATATCTACTTTTGTGTTTGATCTAAGAAAAAATGTAATGCAGGTGCAGAACGACATGAGAGTGAGTAAATGAAAAGAAATAGTTTTTTTCATTTTGGGGTAAACTATACATTTTTGTTAACATTAATAATAATAAATCTTAAATATGTTCTCAAATAAAAGTAGGGTCCAAAAGTCTGAGACCACTAGTAAAAATATTATATTCCTTTTTTTATTATTATTTAATACTAAACTTTATTTATAAATTACATTGACTTCACCGTAGCAATTAATAAAAACGTAAAAATAGATACATGTGAATATATATTTTTTTCATAAACACTTCCTAAAATAATTTACTGCAAAATTGTACGGCAAAAAAAAATCTAAAACAGTAAAAATACAGGGTTTTTTCCCCTAATTTAATAGAAAACGTTTAATGGCAAAAAAAAAATAGCAAGTTTTTTTCTTAAACACTTTCTAAAGTAAAGCAGGGCCAAGTAAAAATGCTTATATATTTTTTGTAATTTAATACAAAATTTTAATGACAAATTATTTTATTAGCATAACAATGAGCAAAAACCTACTAAATGAATTCAATTAATATATATATATATATATATATATATATATATATATATAATAATATCTTTTCTTAAAAATAAAGTAAAGCAGGGCCAAGTAAAAATGCTTATATATTTTTTGTAATTTAATACAAAATTTTAATGACAAATTATTTTATTAGCATAACAATGAGCAAAAACCTACTAAATGAATTCAATTAATATATATATATATATATATATATATATATATATAAATAATAATAACTTTTCTTAAAAATTTTCGAAAATAAATGTATGGTCCAGCAGTCTAAATAAATTAATAAAACAATATTCGATTCTGAAACAATTAAAAAAAAAATTACATTTGAACTACTATTGATTTTCATTATTATTATTATTATTTTTTTCATAAACACAAAACATATTCATCGTGGGAGAAAAATAAAGTCAGGTCTCCTCAGATTTAAGACTTTCAGTCTCTGTAAAAGAGCAGCTCAAACATTCCCCAAAATATCTACTTTTGTGTTTGATGCAATTATAAATCTACTGTAATGCAGTTTCGGAACAACATTCGAGTGAGGAAATTAAAACTGCATTTTTATATTTGGTTAAACTATACCTTCTAATCAATGACTGAAAACCAGGAATAAAAGAGTCTCTGTATTTCTAGAATCTTCCAATGTTGCTGCAAAAGGACTGCAGGTGTTTCAATAACCTTTGAAGGTCAGGTTGTGCTGTTTTATGAAGCTTTGAACGAAGGCAAGCAAACTGGAACGTACAGGCGAACAGGTGCAGATTTTAATTCTGACAGAGTAACAGACCAGAAGTTTGGTTGTTTACCGATTTTATGCATATCGCTGTAGAAATAGTATCAGGCTAAAATATGAAACAAGCACAGTGTGGTGATATGAATGAATGATGTGTCAGTTGGCAAGAATAGCTAGTTCGTCATAGTTTAGCTATGCCTGAAGTTTGTTGCGTCTCATTTACCAATTTTGTCATTAAAATTTCAGTTTTTCAGTAGGTGTATTTTGAAACCTGCTAATGAGAACGTTTCCATCTGAGCGTCATCTTGGGAGACTTGCCAAAAAGTCAGTGTTGTTGATCTTAATGATCTATCCGTCTTTAGAGGGTGTGAAATGTGTGAAACCTTTTTATTCTATTTATTATTATTTCTTGGTTTCAGTCTATAATAAGTCTTGCTAGTCAGAGCTATTTAATTACAGGAGTTAGGCTTTTTTTCCTCGTCTTTTCAGATGATGAATTAGTTCCCTCAAGATGTCATTTTGAAATTCCAGGTTTGAAAGCGACCTTTTACTGGAGGCGCCTTAGAAGACCGAATGGAGTTCAAATCGTAAATAATCAAGAAAAGTGAGCATTTACTTTGTGACTTTTTTTTTTATATAATTCTGAAAATGATTAAGTCTCTCATGACAGCAACTTGGGGAACTAATTGGTTAAATGTTAATTAGCAGTTCTTATGAAAAAATGATTTTTGAATCTTGTTGTGAATGTAAAGTGGCTTTTTTTTTTGCCACAAAGCCACAAAAAATAAACAAAATTCAAATTCTTCATCTTATTAACAGGAAAATAATATGATAGCCTATTATGTGTGTGTGTGAGTGTGTGTGTGTGTGTGTGTGTATATATATTAAATCAAAAAGTAATAAAATAAAATATTGTATTATATACAGTCGTACTATTAGTATATTAGTGTAATATTGTATTTTTATCAATTTAAATTATAGGTTCTATGTACTATATAGGCCATATTTTCTTAAACTAAAAAGAATATTAAAAAGAATATAAACAATATTTAAATACTCTATTTGTGTTTTGTTACTATGATATATTAAGCATAATATAATATAATATAATATAATATAACACAGTATAATATAATATAATATAATATAATATAATATAATATAATAATGTTTTTAATTAAAAAGTATATATTTAATGTTTACAGATTTTATTATTTTTATTGTTTTGTTTTTTTTTGCTTTTTTTTACAAACAACATACAAAATCTTTATATTTAAATAAATTAAACATAAATAAATAAATAAACCTGAAAAAAATCTTGAATTATATACAATTCTAAAACTTGCTCTGACAGATAAGACGACTGTAAATTACAAGCTGGAACTCTCATTCCCCCGTCCTACACTCCCAAACACTTGTCATTGATTTTCTCCAAATTCTTCTTTTAGAGATTAGATTAGAAAATTGTATTACCCACAAAGGGGAAGTTTGTCTGTAGGCTATCTACAGATTTTATTATTTGTATTGTTTTTTTTTTGTTTGCTTTTTTTTACAAACAACATACAAAATCTTTATATTTAAATAAATTAAACATAAATAAATAAATAAACCTGAAAAAAATCTTGAATTATATACAATTCTAAAACTTGCTCTGACAGATAAGACGACTGTAAATTACAAGCTGGAACTCTCATTCCCCCGTCCTACACTCCCAAACACTTGTCATTGATTTTCTCCAAATTCTTCTTTTAGAGATTAGATTAGAAAATTGTATTACCCACAAAGGGGAAGTTTGTCTGTAGGCTATCTAAATTAAATCGACCTCTGCCTGTTGGCGAAATGTGTGAAATTTGTCTCCAGCCCTTTTATCAAGTGGTACGATATGGCCCCAACAACACAATGTGGCTTAAACACAGCATCTTTACTGCGATATTGATGTTTTGGATTATGTATTTATCCCGATCTCAGGAAAACCCCCAAGGGAGGAGGCATCTTGTACGGCAGATGACGTCTTCTAGAGATTTAGACCGCAGGATACGGTTCAATCTAAAAGTAAATTAGATGCCGGTCCCATCCAGGAGGTGTAAACATGACTGAATCAGTCATTCGCAACCGGCGACCCAAAGCAAGATGCGGAAACGCTCACGAAGGACTCGAGCTCACTGGGCCGAAACCGATGTGTGTCATGTGTAAATCCCACCAAGTGCATGATGAATTACGCGGATGAACCTAGTTTAGTTTCCCGCGCAGCCGCTTCGACCGGAGGGAACGTGTGACACGTGGGCCCGTACCGGCGGGAAATTATACAGGGGGGTGTCATGTAAGACTTCTTCTCCTCTCAAAGCAACATATTCTCTGATGGCGCTAACTTTGAACGCGCATAGCCTAGAGCAAGTAGCGTGTCTCCCAGTGCCGGGGCTGGTTGGCGAGGTTGTTCCGGATGGCTGGGCATATATACGGGGCTGTCCATGTAGGACAGGGCTCCAGAGTGAAGCTCACCTGAGCAGGTGCGGTTGGACTCATCCTCGTTGCTGCCGCAATCGTCGGTGCCGTCACACAGCCATCTCTTCGGGATACAGCGGTTGTTCAGGCATTTAAATTGGTCCGCTGGGCAGCTGCGATTAGCTGAGGAGAAACAAACGGCCTGTCAATTGATAACACAAATTCATCTGAAAGCATCTGGGTGTCCAAGAGTTTTGCAAGATGCTCTGATTGTCATATTAACATACTGAGTGTACCATGCGATATACTGTATCCCACAATACAATGTGCTTAACACACACACACTCACACACACGCATGCACAGTCTCTACTCTCTGTCTCTTATACACATACACACACCACGGTTATTATTGTTAACTAAAACCAAAACCATTAAAAAAAAACTTTTCATTAATTGAAAGTAAATAAAAAGTAACTGTAATAAAACAAAATGCTAATAAAATAAAATATGAAAAAAAAAACATCAAACTTGTTTTATTTGTTTTATATTATTTTCTAAATAAACTAAAACTACAAAGTAAAACTTAATTTAAAAATATATAAATACATATTTTAAAAAGCTCGTAAAAACGACAAAAACAAACAAAATTACTAAAACTTTAAGTAAAATTAAAATGAAAACAGAAAATATAAATAATTCAAAATATTAACAAAACTATAATAGTAATTATATTAAAATAACACTGGCACACACACACACACACACACACACACACACACCAATTCTGAATTTGAATTGAGGTTATTTATTTGTTTATTTATTATTGTTATTATTATTATTATTATTATTATTTTCTTAAATATTTTTTTATATAATAGGGTCCACAAGTTTGAGACCATTCGTTTAATTTAAGATAAAAAAGAAGCATTACAAATTATCGGCATACAAATCAGTTATGCTTAAAAAACTGGGAAAAAAAAGTTTTTTAGTGCATACCCCTTAAAATAGTGTCGTACCTAAATGTCTTAATTTCACATTTTTAAAATCCTAATTATATTTATTTTTATTTTTTTTATATTTAGTGCTAAATGAAATTAGTAACAATGTTTTAACAAATATGTTTTATTAACATACTTAAAGATTATCACCATAATTAGTGAATTAATGATTTAATCATGTATGTTTTGTTGTAAATGTTCTGTCACATTAACTTCATCTGATTATTACATTTCTCTGAATTATAATTAAGTAAATTCTACTTCCTGTGATTGCAATTTAACTTCCTGTGTCGCGTGGCCGATTCAATTCAAATTCCAACTCAAGTATTAAAAGTGGCCAGTTGTTTAGTTCTGAAATATGCTTAAACCAGGCATACTGCATACTTACATTGACACATAAAATAAAAAGTTAGCAAAACAGGAAGTTATTTATGCGGTAAATTGAATCCACATGAGTTTACAATGGATTTAAGGCCAAGCCACACGCAAACACAAACACAGTTGCAGCCAAACCGGGGGTTGAGCGGAAACATTTACATCCCCCACTGGAAATGGAAATCAATGGACATAATTCAGCTTAACATAAACATATCTGATCTGTTGTCATATTTCCCACAAACCGCCACCATTATTGACTAGCCTGTGGGTGCCAATATAAAATCTGCATATTCTGTTCTACCACATACACACTGGCATCGCTGAAAAAGGATTTGTTAAAAATGACCCATTTGTAAATCCCAGAATATCAATCAATTACATCAGCTCTAACCAGACATGATGCAACAGGTTTCTAGTGGCCAGTAATATCTCTGTCGCTCATATTCTTGCTCATATATAGTATTATGCCTGGTTAATGATACCAAATGACTAATGGAAGCTTACATGAACAGGTGACGTTGTCTTTCTCCAGATGTTGGCCGTCTGCGCAGGTGCACACATGGCCTGCAGGCGTAGCGAAGCATAGAGCCGAAGGGCTGCAGCCACCGTGATTTGCTGAACATTGGTTATTACCTGAGGAAAAATGCACGACGATGAATGAAACGAAAGATAAATGTGATATTTAATGCAGTTTGGAGACAATATACACGATTGAAGATGTCAAATAAACCATAATTTCCATATATTTCTGTTCAAAATCTGTTGGAGAATCTGTTTTGAAACTGCAGCTTCCAGTCGTTTAAGTAATTAGCTACGCTATAAGCTACTAACAAAAATTACATAGACATACTACAGTAAATTAAAGTTTCTTAAGTGAATATATTTTATATACATTTTTATATTAGAGCAATTTTTTCTGGCTGTAAACCAATGAAAAATTTAATTAGTGACAATATTACACTGAAAAATATAAATGTGTACTAAATACAACAATAAAACGTCCTATTTAAATAGTTGAGTCGAAAAATAGTCATGAACAGCATTACTGAACGAAAATATTTTCGACATAAATATAAATTAAATTATAAATGAAAATATTTCACTATTTTTCCTCAGCTACTGAAACTATTTTACTTTAAAAGGGTGGGGGGGGTGCATTATTGAATGAAAATATTTAACTAAAATAAATAACTGAATTATAATTAAAAATATTTCACTATTTTCCCGCCTACTTTTGAAGCAGGACTATTTTGCTTCAAAAAAAGTTTAACAAACAGTACTGCAGTTTCTGTTGGTCAACGGCTTAATTCATGTAACAAACTTGAAACTGAAAATCAGCAAGGGGAAATCTTTCATCCTGATGGAAAATTCCCAGTCATGTGGATTCCTACAGAATTTCGCCTGTGAACATTGGCTAAACAACAGTGAACGTGGCTGCACTTAACTCAAGTTAATTATTGAATCACTTACTTGAACCATCTAAACAAACTTTACATTCACTAAAAGGATTTGAACATGTTACATGTTAATCACATCGGCTCTTATTTTTTAGTAGTGTTTTATAACAAGTACGCAAGGAACAAGATCATGAGCGTTAAACTAAATGATTTACCACAGACTTCCACTAACTGCATGGCCAAGCACACCAAATGAACAATTTTTCCAATGCAAATAGCTCTCTCAGTGAAGTCCAGCATCCGGAGAGGACAAGAAAGGACATGCTCAGAGTCTCTTGTCCAATGAATATTGATCTTAGCTAGCTCCATTAAAATCAATGATACAAGTATCTGGCATTGACTCCCAGTGAAGAATGCCATCAATTGGACTCTACAGGACATGTGTCCACTGAATCATCTGCAGAGATTAATGCAGATTAAAGCAGATCACATTAATTGAACAGTGCTTTTCGCCTTTAGTCGCTAAAATGTCATAATGCATTGTGAGTGCAAATTACCATGTATATAAATCATCTGCACATAGATAAACATGTCATTGTCGCATTTTAATGTAATTTTAGGAGGAGAAGCAGAGCTCTAATCACATAGCAGATTAAAAAATAAAGTATTTTTGGGGCTCCAGAATGCAATTACATAGAAAAACAAAACCATTCAGACATCTATATCATTTCCTGAGGGAAATGCTAAACATTTTATGTGAATACGAGACTGTAAACTGAAACCACTGACCATTTCATAGAACAACAGTTCTGAGCAAATGATATCAAGCTCACTCTCAATTGTCAAGTCAGGCAAAAAAATGAGTCATAGCAAGCTAATGTAGCAAAACGCGACAACAACTCTAACTCAACTCCTGAACAGAGCTAAGTGAAGCTTGTAAAATGATAAGTAGCGAACATTAGACTATTTGCTTTCCCGAAATGTTTGTAACATGCACTTAGCATTGTAATGCAAATCAACATGTAGCTTATATATTGGGTGACATCTCAAGAAAGAGTTAAACAGTGCATGCTAATTATCAAATCCAAAATTACACACAAATGTTGTACAAGGAATGGTACAACAGCTAGACATGTTCAGTAAAGTTTAGATTTCGTAAACAAAGGCTTGTCATTTCCACTAAAATCTAAATGCACTGGCAGGTTATTATATATTCAGCACAGTTCCAACTTGGCTGCATTAGCTTAGCGTGTGAATTCACTATCCAGTGTTGAGTACTTCAGTGGGCAGGTTCAGACCTCTGTGTTGCACATTGGCAGGTGCTTATGACTGCCAGTAGCTCTAATCACAGGTGCCGAAATTATGCATCGAACATCTGGTCAACATCAGTAGCGTAAACAGGATTTCCAAGCTGTTAATTAAGAACATCAGCATATGAATTACAACCATCGACCACCTTGGAAAAGTTTGCAACACCTTTACTATCCATTGAAGTCCCCTTTGTATACATTATTGAGACCCATTAGCGGATATTTAAGCCAGAATGTTGCTATACCTCCGTTTGTTTGTTTGTTTAGGAGGTCATTGAAGTTTGAGAACGATTCACATTCCTACTGCACTTGAAATGGCTGGGTCAATGCTGGCCTGCCATTGGCTGGCTGTCATTAAGAATGACATTCAGTGTCTCTACCAGATGCAACATACGAGTAACTCTACAGGAGCTGCCATAGCAATTAACCTTGAGCAAAAGTTGCAGACAAAACCGAACATTTATCATCATCCTCAGTCATCTAGCTCACAGCACATATGAAATGTATAAATAAGAGGTCAGTTATGATCAAATCCATTTCACCTCGTCAAGAACAAGTTAAGCCACCAAATACAGTGGTTTTGTGAAAGAAAATGTGTGCAAAAGTCACCATCAGTGGCGCAATTCTGTCTTTGTAAATTCCCCTGTAATTTTGATGTACCCATTTCTGCACAGTAGGGCGATGGAGAAAAATGTCACTAAATTGAGTATAGGTGCCAAAAATCTGCCCAGTTTCTCAGAACAATTGCTCGTCATTGGAGACATAAGTGGAGATCTGGATCCAGAACCTCAGAATGACAAATCATACAAATTTCCTGCAAATGCCTTCAAATTAGCCTTTAAAATATGAAGGAAGTTAGGCTTATTTGATCTGAGTCCCAAAAATGCTTGGATCATGAAGTCTTAAGGTTAAAATTACCATTAAATATCCTACACAGGGAATATCCATTGCAAAGCATTTATTCAAATTCAGGGACTTGCCGTTGTGGCATTTTATTTCTAGAATGTTCAGCTGTTTAAAAGGTGAATGCATACGGGGTAATAATATTTCATTTCCATATATTGTACGGTATACCATGTTTGTACCAACACAGGAATTGGCTTCTGGGCAAAGCTATGGCATGGTGATATATAAAGAATCAGACCACCTCTCAGAACTCAGGCAATTTAAATCTTAGAGTTTCTGGAAGACAGTCAATAGCTAGATATCAATGTCCTTCTATATCATTGCAGCCCTTGGCAAGGTTTCAAGAATTCATTGCGGCTTTAAATCTAAGGCATACATATTCAGTCATGGCCTAATGGTTAGAGAGTCGGACTTGTAACCCAAAGGTTGCAAGTTCGAGTCTCGGTACCATCAGGGATTGTAGGTGGGGGAGTGAATGACCAGCGCTCTCTTCCACCCTCAATACCATAACTGAGGTGAGACCCTTGAGAAAGGCACCGAACCCCAAATGCTTCCTGGGCGCCACAGTAAAAATGGCTGCCCACTGCTCCGTGTGTGTGTTTGTGTACGTTCACTACTCACTGCTGTGTGTGTGCACTTAGTTGTGATAAATGCAGAGCACAAATTCTGAGTTTGGGACACCATACTCAGCCACACGTCACATCACTACACATCATGTCACTTCATATTTACCTTTCTGGCTCTGCGGGTCATACACCTGAATCCCGAAGAGAGGTGGTCTTTCTGCCCGCAGTAGGGCAACATCATTGGACGACAAATCCAGACGGAATATTGAGGCGTTCATGTAATCCGTCCAGAATATGTAATTCTGGTAATGCGCAATCCCAAATGGGTGATTCAACTCTTTCCCGCTGTACACCACCTGTGAGAAGTAGATCAGGTTTTTGAGTCACAGGGAAATATTGAGAACAACATAGAGAGGAACAGAGGTATCCAAGAACTAAAGAACTGACTCACTCATTTACTAACCGTTCTGTGGCTGCCGTTGAGGTAGATTTTCTCAATGTGGTCATAGTAGGCGTCACACCAGTACATGACACTGGAGGAGTGGTCCAGAGTGAGGCCGTTGGGCCACAGCATGTTGGATGTGACAAAGATCTGACGGTGAGATCCATCCATCCAGGCTTTCTCTATCCTCCCTCTGCTGTCAATTAACTCATCCTCCTCCCAGTCCGTCCAATACATCCATCTAAGAAACCAATTGAGAATTGATATCTTTAAGATCATGACACCCTGCTGAAGAGGACCAGCTTAGACCGAATTAATTTCCATGTTGCTCTATGGTTTAAAACATATTAGCGTGGTTCTGGTGTCTCAGGTGTGGGAAACTCTGGCCTTGGAAATCTACTGTCCTACAAACACTAATCAAAAATGGATGCTTGTGATCTTCAAGACTTTGGTTAGATTTTTCAGGTGTGTTTAATTAGGGTTGGAGCTAATGCTGCATTCAATTTACCTAGGAACTCAGATGTCGGAGCTGGGAATGCCTTCACACCCAAGTGGACTGTGTTCCAGTAGAGAAGTCAGAAAACCAAGATGGACACGTCCATTGTTAGCAATACCAATCAATAAAAAACACATAAAAGCTGTATTTTGTACAGATAACTCGATAGTTTCACGTCCACAAATAGAGGTTGGATAGTACTGTGTGCACCACTGAGTTTATTGAGACATAAGTGCTAATATTTTACTACTGTTTCTCTTCTGTTGATGCACTGAGCAACCATATTGGATTCTGAAGTTGGAGTTGTTGCGATTCCTCCTAAATTTTGAGTCGGAGTTCCGACTTGAGAGGACGTTCCAGTTAAAAGTTCCAACTGGGAACTTGGTATTTTCAACTTCAGAGTACAAATGGAATGCAGCATAAAAGTGAATCTCGAGGGCCAGAGTTGCCCATACCTTTTCCAACTGGTAGTGTTTCCAAGATTTACATCAATCCACCATCATGGTGTTTCTGGAAAATATAGTTCACCATGCTTCTCAAGCTAGTTAAGAAGCCCAGTGGTGACACCAACATTCGTTACCGGGCACCATTAAGCAAATGGGAAATTCCCTGAGATGCAGGATTTGAATGCCACAAACCAGAACTAAAAACAGTTAGACTGACTACTGAGTTCCAGCTGAAAAAAAAAATCCAGCTGGGAGATGTGTTTTGGAACACTGTAGCTAGTTTCTAGCTGGTCCAAGCAGGTAATAAGCTGGTAGACCATCTTGGAACAAACTGCTTATCAGCTGGCTATACCAGTTCAAGCTGGTCAAATTGGATTTTGGAATGCTGATGGTTTCATAAACTGCTTAGACTAGTCTTTTGTTTTTCCTTCAAGATTGGTCATAACTTTTAAAAGTCAGTTACAAAAGAGTAGATTGGTCTCATTTGAATCCAAAAAGTAACTTGTTTAACTACTAGTTGGTCAAATTAGTTCTTAAGACACAGTCTTAACATACTGGTTATATTTATGCAACTGGCCCCAGGTTGGACCACTTAATAACCATCACATTCCAAAACACAGCTACAATCTTAAACTGGGTTTGCTCAAAGGTGTCTTCTAAAAGACAGATCACCGTAAAATAATCTTTAAATTAATTGAGGGAAATATCTACACATAATCATCTAAAAAAGAGGCTCGTATAATTGGATGTTATTATTAATTCATGATTTATTTGGAAGCCAAAACTTTTTGTTCTGCAAATCTTACAAGGTCCTTTTTTTCCAAGTTCAAATCGCTCACATTTCACAGCATAAACTTAACACTGTGACACGGCCTTGCGCATTTGAACGTAGCCTAACATAACATGACAGAAGGAAACGACTCCCCCCACTCATATTCAGTGACCTGTTGAATAATTCATGAGGCGGGGCTTTGAGTGACAGCACCTGCTGTGAACAGGCAAATCAGGCGAGTGATGGAGATGGAGAGCAAATGCGATCAGGACCTAGAGTCATAACAGCTAATCCTCCATCTTATCATGTTAGCACAGACAGGAAATGAAATGCGTACATGGGATATGGAAGGACAGACACGGCAAAGGACAGTTTTTAGAAAGGGAAATAGAATTTAAAAGGGGAGAGATTAAGCTGGGATAGGTATTGAATATTCAGCATACCGGCAGCTAAAGCTTATAAGCGGTGATCAGAAGTTCCAAAAAACTGATAGAAATTTTAAACCAATTTCTAGTAACACAATTACAGATTAATTGCAGATTAAAACTGATTACTGGTAATTGTTCCAAAGGCTCCAGGTCTTATTTGCAATTAAATGATCTGAAATTCCCAGACATCGAAGCTATTAAAAACAGACAACCCAATCCAGAGACCCATTATGAGGAAAAACATGTCAAGTGTACAGCACATGGTAAGAAGTCACTAAAATATAAGCAGAAACTGGAACCTGCCTTTAAACTTTTAAACCTCTTATGTCAGGCTTCAAAGTTCTGCCAAGGCAACGATTCGCAGTCATGGAGTCTCCATATTCCCTTTAAGCCTTTCCATCTGAGCAATGACATCGAATGAGGATGTTCGCATTAGCTCCCTTTGACACAATAGCACATCTGCAACTTCCTCTCTTAGATTTAAATGAACAATATTATTGAATAAATTAGTTTTGTAACTCCAAGGTGACACATACATCAGTATAACCATATAGTACCATGTTTTTTGGAGCTATAGTAATAGATTTTTTTTTTCTTTTCACATTTACCATCATATAGTACTATGGTTTCTTGGATGCATACTATGGTAATTCCATGGTATTCTTCAGAATTGTGTTATAACTATTCAGTGCCATATATCAAAGTACCATAATTTTACATGTTTTTTATATAGATGGTTTTCGGATGGTAATACTATACTACTTTGAAATAACTGTTGCTTCTGAAATGTATGTACCATGGTATTTGTGTGGTACTCCAATGTACTTTCAAGAATACTATGATTTTTTTTTTGCCATTATCAGTTTATTATTTCCTACATTGTAATACTTTACATACCATTGTAATACTATGTTTTTGGACAGTTCAACATTGCAAACATGAACTTAAAGCTCCAGCAAGCCAGCAGGTCAATCACCATAGGCCTACATGACCATGGACCACAAAACCAGTCATAAGGGTCAATTTGTTTTTGAAATTCCATTGATGTATGGTTTGTTAGGATAGGACAATATTTGGCCAAGACACAACTATTTGAACATCTGGAATCTGAGGGTGCAAAAAAAATCAAAATATTGAGAAAATCGCATTTAAAGTTGTCCAAATGCATATTACTAATCAACAATTCAGTTTTGATCATGGAACATATTTACTTCATATCCTAATGATTTTTGGCATAAAAGAAAAATCGATAATTTTGACCCATGCATACAATGTATTATTGGCTATTGCTGCAAATATACCTGTACTACTTATGACTGGTTTTGTGGTCCAGGGTCATATATAGAGAATATTTAGCAGTTTGTCACACTTTAATTCTTGTAATTAAGTATATTTCACATTAAAATCACTTGTCTTATAGTTGATACTATCATTTATAGGCTAATATTTCATTAAATTCATATTAATAGTAGGCCTATACATAGTTAAAAATATAATATAAATGTTCTAAATGAGTTGTTTATATAATATAGATTTATGCTGTATAATATTAAATGAAATGTCTAATATTTATACTTGTAGAAGCAGGCTCAGAGAGTGAGGAAGAGCCCATTGAGCATCAGCCAAATCAGACCGGTAAGACTGTTAAACTGGGGTGCATTTCCCAAAAGCATCGTTAGCCAACTACGGTCGCAAGTTCTGTCGTTACCAACATAGTTCAACGATTCGTGTGATTCCCGAAACCATAGTTCAAACGAACATTCGCAAACTGCATCGCAAACTTGTGTCGTTGGAATGACAGCTCTTCACCTGTGGTTAGAGGCATAGCTCGTTGTTAGTTTGCTGTGTCGACGTCATTGATTGCGCCGCACCTGGGGTGTGTTCTATTCAGAGTTATCGACCCTATGCCCTATTCCTTTAGAAGATTTCACCATCCACTTTGAGTGATTTGGAAGATATAAAGTTGTGGTGCTTAGATCTTACCTAATTCGCCTTTAAATATTTGTTTTTATTACAAATTCAGTTTGAAACTATATAGCAGCGTGGCCCTCGCAATTATTCTCCCTAAGTGCCATAAGTGCCCTCTGAAAGCATTAATCATGCCGATTGGAATGCAGCCATCGTTTCGTTTGTGCGAAGAAAAGGTGAGTTTCTCAAGTGAGTATCTTTGTTAAAACATTCATAAAGACAAATTTCTCATATAACAATATTGCTAAAACAGTATGTTAGAGGTTTTCACTTATATTAAATGTTAACACTCAAATCACAGTATTTTTATAGTAAATGAATGTACCCAAATAAATTAACAAAAATGTATAAATAAGTGAGTGATTTTACTTCCAACAGCATAATAATGCAGTGTAGCTAACAACTGCACCGCTGAACTTAAGGCGTTGTTTCTTCTTGTTGCCCTCTGAAGATGTGGTTTCACAACCTGTAGTAGTTCAAGGATCTTGGCCCTTGGAAGCCGGAATTTTCTTAAGATGGCATCATCAGATAGTGAGTCAAGGGGGGTAAAATGTGTCCCTATACAGGCATTTATATACACTGCCTGACTTCTGCGTGGCCTTCTGTGTCAGAGGACTCAGATGGAGGTGAATCAGGGGAAAAGAGCAATAGACAAGGACCCTTTGGTGATTTTGAAGGCCCAGGCTGGAGAAGGTTTGATGTTGAAGGGCCTGATGTTGGAGGCCTGAACTTTGAAGGCAAAGGACTGGTTGATGCACATGCATCCATACCCCCAAGGATCCCTTCCAATGCTTCAGGCCCCAGGATGGCCAAAACTTTCTCTTCCTCTGTAGTGAGAGGAGGAACTGAATTGATACCCCCACCAGTCCTGTTTGCTTCCCTCTTACATGCCGCATCCCTCCGTTTTGTCACACTTGCGAAGTCCCTCCACTTATTCCTGACTTCTTCTGGGCTTCGTTCGTACCCATAGCCAGCAACATTTATTTTTTGAGTGATTTCTGCCCAGATTTTCTTTTTGTCAGCATTTGTAATGCTGTTTTTCAGCTTTGAAAATAGCTGGATTTTATTATTTTCCACCTCCTCCAAAAGAACTGCAATTTCATGCTTTGAAAATTGGGGTTTTCGTGTCATTTTCATTAACACATGGCTGAATGGCAAGGGGACTTGAATAGGAAAAATTATTGAGCAAAATAAGTAACAGGTGTCCACAAGAGTACATCACAGTTTTTTAAACTTTTTTCAATTGTGCTTAAGTAGCCTATCAATATTAAATAAGAAAGGCAGAACAGGAAGATATGGAGAGTGAGGCAGCCATTTAACAAACACCCACCCCCTTAGTGCCTTAGTTTTTTTGGTTTGGGCCACTGCCCCTCAAAATGTCTGTGCACGGCCCTGGTTTCACACATTAGCAACATAACTACTGAAAATACAGCGTCGAGCAGTGTAGTCCGATTCCCATGAGCCGGTTCCTTTTAGTGAATTACTTATGAATTAGTCGGAGCTGTTAAGGAATACCTGGTTCAATGTAAATACTGTGGTAGTATAGCACCATAATATATAGTACCATGGTATTGTCATCTAATACCACCACAGTGCTTTTTGTTAATGAAACCAGAGGAAGCACAGGGTTGCTGACATTTCTTGATGAAACCCCTAAGAGAAAAAGGGCAAACATCCCGCCCCAATGCACTTTAAATGGCTGGATTTCGTCCAAGGCTGTAGCAGACTGAAATCTTTTAAATGCTTCTGTAAGCAGGAAAGGTATTATGGGCTTACCCGTTTAGAGGATCCACAACAATGGCCCTGGGATGGGACATATTGCCTTCTAAAAGCGTTCTCCTGGTCTGCGAGGGCCGCTCCAGCCCGGCCACACTGATGGTCTTTCTATAACCGTCATTTGTCCAGAACAGGTTATTACCGATCCAGTCTACTGAAATACCCTCAACATTATCCAGCTCTGGAGAAAGAGAGAGCAGAAAGAAATTGAGAAAATGTTGTTCTTTTAGCATGATAACATCAAAGACAGCTCAATTAATCACTGTCTTCCTCTAATTCTTCCCAGTGAAATTATGTGTATCGACCAGCGAGCTTCCCCAATGATAGAATTGCACAAAATGTATGATAAATAACTTCCCATTTGGAAAACAACGGCAACAGTAGTGCTCAAGTACAGGTGGCCTGATTCTACCGTACCACGCCGCATGGATGCACAGATGATTACCGAGCCAAAGTGAAAATGAGTTCGTTAGAGAATATTTAAGACCTTTTTACGAAATTAAATTGCGGTACGGCTCAACAGACTTATACAAAAGCCAACATTAATCTCTAAGAAGTCATGATGAACATACCGTCCTTAAGGATCGTTTCCCGAGCAGTTCCGTCAATCTTCTGCCGTCCAATTAGGAAGCTTGTGGTGTCGGCAAAGTAGATGTAGCTACTCTCTGCATGGAAATCCAGCGCTCTGGGACTCACGAGCCCTTCGATTTGAATCAAATGTTCATCTCCAGACTTGACATTCATATCCAGACCTCGGATAACCCCGGGTCGTCCTTTCCCGTAAAACAGGAACAGCTCATTCTTTGGTTCTGCGAAGACACGATTACCCAAAGTAAACAAACACAGTGGCGAAACGTAATAAGCCTTCTGCCACAGTACTGTCAGTGCTTAATTAATTTACATAATTAGCCTCCGTTTTCAATTCAGTTCTGCAAATTAAAGCCTTTGACAAAAATGTATCCAAAGCGAGAGGCTCAAGCTAATTACATTAGTTTAATTAAAACCCGAATTAGTTCCATGGTTCTATGGAATCAATCATCTTTTGGTGCATAACAGTTACATTGTGTTTGTAATTGCATCTGAGTGTGTGTATGTGTGTGTGTGTGTGTGTGTGTGTGTATAGAGTTAACCGGGGACAAACAGGGCCCTAAGTGGGGGCAGCAAAAAGAGGGATGCGTACATATGAAGTACAATGTTTTCAAAATTAATTACTTACAGGCTGCAATGGGGAGAAAAGGATGATTGTAATTATTATTAGGTCAGATCCAGTGAGATCCAGAGAGACAAGAGGAAGAAACTATTGGATGAAGGGATAAAGGAACCCAACAAGAACAGTTATGTGTTTTTGAACTTCATTTCTGAGGCCAAATGATTCCTTTGTGTGAGAAACGGAGAGAATTTGAGCCATTATTGACTCTCGAGCAAATGCCATTCCATTGCTCTCAAGTTTTATTTTATGAAGTTTGGTCATGAGATGTGAGAATCAATGACGTGCAATGTTATTGACTTCCATGAGGGTAAGACAGACAGGAATTTCATTTTTGTGTGAACTGCTTTAAATAACCATGTCCTGTTCTTGTACAATTCTGTGAATTCAATAATTTACAAATTAATGGTACTTCAACTCATTCATAATGAATGAATGATGAATCTGGCTTCAGTTCAAAAACAGCTTCACACTGAGTAACCCTTGAGATAAAAACAAAAAACTCACATTTAAAACCACTATAAAACAGCCCATTTATGCCTCCATTTGACGCACATCATTATATATGACTACTGCGAGCTGGATGACACATCGCAATGATGAACAATATCAATGGATAAAAAATGTGGGAAGTCACCTGATGACACGCCAACACACTCTCGACAACTCGTAATAATTCAGACAAGGTGACAAATTGATATATCTGGTTCATACAAAAAGGTACAACTTTAAGTAGCAATCATACTTAGGGTCAAGTAAGCAGAAAAAAAATAAAATAAAATAAAATAAAATAAATAAAAAATCTAACTACAAATTTTGTATTTCACAATTCAGATTTTCTTTTCTCGCAGTTCTGAGGAAAAAAGTCAGAAATGTGAGGTATAACTTACAACTGCAAGAAAAGTCAGAATTGTGAGAAAATTTGCAGTTACTTTTTTTATTTTTAATTCTGTGCCAAAAAAAAAAATAACAGAATTGCAAGATGAAAATTTAGAATTGCGGGTAACAAAGTCTGAATTGTGAGATACAGGTGCATCTCAATAAATTAGAATGTCATGGAAAAGTTCATTTATTTCAGTAAGTCAACTCAAATTGTGAAACTCGTGTATTAAATAAATTCAATGCACACAGACTGAAGTAGTTTAAGTCTTTGGTTCTTTTAATTGTGATGATTTTGGCTCACATTTAACAAAAACCCACCAATTCACTATCTCAACAAATTAGAATACTTCATAAGACAATAAAAAAAACATTTTTAGTGAATTGTTGGCCTTCTGGAAAGTATGTTCATTTACTGTACATGTACTCAATACTTGGTAGGGGCTCCTTTTGCTTTAATTACTGCCTCAATTCGGCGTGGCATGGAGGTGATCAGTTTGTGGCACTGCTGAGGTGGTATGGAAGCCAGGTTTCTTTGACAGTGGCCTTCAGCTCATCTGCATTTTTTGGTC